ATAATAATAATAATTTAAATATTAAATATTTAAAATGTATCCAAGTAAAATATATATAATGCATTTGAAATTTTAAAATTGATTTATTGTCTTTTCTACTTGATTCATAAAATAATGAAAAATGGCTTACGTCTTCTATTTTACTGCAATCTCTTTTAATTTTGATTTCTCTGATGCGTGTAATGAATATTTATATCAAAACGAAGTAATAAAATTGTAACAAGTAATGAATATACTATAAATAGAACATGTTGAAAAACAAAAAAATATATTAATATCGCTAATATTTATGAAAAATGTGCATAAAAAAACACATTAAAACATAAATAAGATTTAAATGAGGTCTAGGCAAATAAATTTTTCATGTTTGTAGATGCATAAATTTTTTAATATTATTACAATAAATAACAATACATAGTTTACAATGTAATACAATATAAAATATATTCAATTTTGAGTATTTATTATATTAAATTTAAAAGTTTGTATATTTATTTTTAATATATCGTATGTACCTGTACTGTATATATTTTAACTTTATTTTTCACATGATAGTACAGACATAAGAACTGGAGTAGATATATATAACATTTCAATTTTTATTTATTCAACTTTATTTTTATTATTTATACAATTTTATTAAATTTCTTTATAATTTTATTCTGTTTTATTTTATTATACAGGTTTTACAATTTTAAATTAATAACATGAAGCAAAATAAAATTGTAATAGTTAGCCATTTTCATCGTATGAACTAATATAAATTATATTATTTGATAAATTCTTTCGTGCCATACTAAGCATAAACTTTAGTGCTTATGTTAAATTAAAATTTGATAAAACTCTATTTACAGATGTTTAAAGATTATTAAATTAAAATATGTAATAAAAATTAAATATAGTAAAATTATATTTAAAACTTTTCATACATTCAACTTTCTATATTTTATTATAAATTATTATAATACAGTCAAGCCTCTAAATAACGGCTACTGACGGACAGTTATTGGAGGTTCGACTGTATATTTTAATAATATTATTTCTAAAAATGTTGATATACTTTATAAAACAAATATATTCCTTTTTTATTAGTTTATTTACAATGTTTTTTTATAAACAAATCTACAAAACAATTCATTTCTGGAGACTATTCTTAGATATATCAAATAAAGATTTATAAATATGCACTTTATTATATTATATATAATAAAGTGCATAAATTATTTTTATCTTACACATAAAATAGCTAAAACACTTTATCACGTCTTTGTTATTATACTGTATAATATAAGAATTAATCTTATCAACTCATGAAATGTCATCCACATTTCATAAGAAGAACATTTATGTAATTAGGAAATATAAATTATCACTCATGTAATCAATATAATAGATAATTTAACCTATTGTAATCAAATAAATGTCTACTTTACGAATAATATTTTATAAATTGGCAATATATTTATAATTAATTAATTTCCTGTTGTTCTTCTCAGATTATACTTAAATATAATTTACTTTTCTACAATAAGGAATTACAATTATTATTGTAGAAAATGCCTTTAAGTTTTAACTTTTAATTTATTTATTAAATATAGAACTTTGTATGAGGGATTTTAAAATGTTTGAAAAGTACTTCGTTTCTATATATTCTAATAAAACAATTATCTAAGCATTGATCATTTACGGATAAAAAATTGAAATAATATTACTAAAAATTTAAACTTCTCTAAATTTATAAGCATTAATTACTGTATAAATGAAAATAAAAAAATAATTAATTTGAGTTTAAAAAGTTTATTAGCACCAGATACTAATTTAAAAAGAAATAAAGTTACTTTATAGTTCTTATATTTAATTTAACAATCGTGTAGTTTATAACTTATTTAATTTTATATATTTTATTGTTATTGTTTTATTATTTATATCTGGATGAAAACGTAGGTACTGTACAAGAGTTCACGTATATAGACTTATATAACAGAAAATAAGAATTTATAAAAGATTGTTTCATTCACTACTATAGAAGAAAAGTTATATTTTTTATACGTTTTTAAATTCAAGCCAGTCGGGTAGTAACTAAATTATATAAAGAGGTGTCAAATTGTATCATTATATCATTGATAAACACGTATTATTGAATTTTTTTAATCTTACAAGCCTATAATAAAGAAAGTTATTTTATAAAATAATTTGTCTACGTATTATACAACTGCTTCTTCCCCAAACATTATAAAAATATATGATATATGCAATCTTTTCGCTTAACCTACTCAACTACCAGGTGATCGTAATTAAAGAACCCTGTTCAACACTGTGTAGAGAAATATTTAGCAGTCCAAATACAGTATGGTGACATTTCAGAATGTGAGTAAGACATTTTCGTAAAAATAAAAAAAAAAAAAAAATCATTACCAAAACTCACCACTGTAGCACTTTTGGCGATGCATGCAACAAACATTTTATTATGCAGAGGATACTGCTCAATGTGGTACTATAATTGATCCTCTATGATGATTCTTACACACAGTGTGATACTGTCTTTCAAGGCTGTCAAAATTGCAAAATTTTTAAGTGTCCTCACAAATAAAAGCCACACATATTAAGATCCAAAGTACCGTATTGTTGAGTTTTGGTATTAATTTTATTTTATTTATTTTTAATGAAAAAAGCTTCCACGTGTCCTGAAATGTCACTATACCAAATTTAGTTTAAACTGTTAAATATTTCACCAGACAGAGTTGAGTAAGAGTACTCTAATTACGATCACTCGGTACTTTACTCGATAAAATCAAATAATAGTAAAAATAATTTCGTACAAGTTGCAAATAATTTGAATACGAATATAGATTTTTATAATATGTGGATGGGGGCTCATTATGGCTATCCCTTACAAAAGTTATACATATATCCCTTATAATGATTTAAATTTCCCATACCTTATATAATAATTTGAATTCCTCAAGATAAATCATTAAATAATTTTTATAAACGTCACCCTAACTATTAAACTATTTAATTATTATGAAATTATTTTCATTGGTAGAATGTATACTGTATATACTTTTAGTTTTTTATTTATTATTTTTCTTATACTCCTTAAAAATCGTTATTTTAGTTTATTTATTATTACTCCAGTAAATGATAATATAAAAACAATACAATTATTTTAGCCACTTCATGACTTTTATTTTATGATAATTACCGTTATTTTCTGTATTTTTATGATAAGAGTAAAAGTTAATAATAGTAATTAGCAATAAATCTACTTATTTAAAATTTGTCAATGTCTGAATAATTAATAAGGCTTTATAATCTCTTAATACTTCATGATTTAATTAAATTTTAATTTAAAAAACAATAGATTTTTCATTAAATTTATAAAAACTCTTCAATTTTCTCAAATTACTAACATATGCATTTGTAATCTCTCAATAAATTGTTGTAAATTGTTGTAATCTATCCCAAATTGTTGTAATTATTATTGCTGAATTATCAGAAAAACATTTTCCAATTTATTGTTTTAATTATTAAAAATTTATTTATAGTAATTAATGCGTAAAACAGAGAATCAATTGCATAAAAAATGGTTGGTAGTCTTATGCAATTATGTGTTTGCTTAAATTTAAAAAATATCTTTTATCAAACTGTAGAACTCTGAAGAAAACCCAAAATATATATAGTTTGAATAAGTGAAATAAATTAAATTTTCACGTTAGTAAAAATTCCAAAATAACAAAAAACTAAAAAATAACCTCCTTGGCATATCTCTAATTATAAATGGGAATTAACGTTTAAAAAACGTTTATAAAAACTTGTTTATATAAAACGGTGATTTATTAAATTCCCAATAAATTAAATTATGTTGGAATCTTAAGAAAAAACGCTTTAATAATTATAAATGTTTATACCTAATTTATAAAAAGCAGTTATTAAAATTGAATTCGATATGAAAATTTATTAAATCTAAGTGTTTTTTTTAAATTTATATATATTAATTTCCTAATTAACACTGCGTATAATTTATAAAATTAAATAAATAATTATCATATTTGACTGACGTTTCATTCATATTTTCAGTTGTTTATAAATATTTAAATTTAAATGGAAACTTCTTGCAAATTTATTCATTTAATTTGTTTTATATCAAATAATTGCATTTAAATTAAAATTGATATATCGGACAAAATTTATTATAACTATAATTAAACTAATCGGAAATAACTAGTGGCTACTTTAATTATCTACCATAATAATGCATACACTTAATAAATTTTTATGTTATTAGATAACTTAACAATTATCGAGATAAACTATTAAAATTAATTATAATTGTTACTTATAAACATATAAAACTAAATTTAAAATAACAATAAGCTTCGTTCATAATCATATATTTATTAACGAAACTTATAGTCAATTTTGTATATAATTACAACTATAAAATCGTTTAAAATACACTAAAAGTACGTTTTATGCGGATTATTATACCAAAAACATGAGAAAATTGCTAAGAAGAAATCGAATTTAGACGTCCAGATATAAAAATTAATGCTATATGTTAAACTTTATATAATAATTATCATCATTTTAAAACTGAAGGACTGAGTACAAGTGGTCTAACCTTCTCCGATGTCGAAATTGATTTAACACTGCCATACTTTTATATATTAAATGCAATAGAATATTTCTAAATAGATTACTAGGGTTCTGATTAAATAATAATAGAAACAAGTATAAAAGCGAAATATCGCACTATAGTGTACAGTACGTTATTTTTTATATCTCATCATTTAAAATTGAGATATTGTACTGTAAGATCACTGTTGCGCTTAGCCTTTCAATTGTGCTCAACAAAAAGAATTTTCAAAATAATAAGTTTTTGTAATTCAGTTTACTTCAAAATATCCTTTTTGTAAATTTATATTTGATAAATATGACTGTAAATTTAAATAATAAATAGATTTCGGTTAATCATCTTTAAATAAATGGATTTTTACCTCACATTCCGGAACAATTATTGAAGAACCATTCGGAAAAAATTCACGAGGACATTCGTTCCATGGTAAAGGGCTTTGAAAACTCTGGAAGAAGTAATACATGCACCAAGCAATGATGGTATTGTAATACAATGCCACATTGAAGGAGACTACGGCACTGGTTAATCCAATTCCCCCCGTATATGACGATACCAAATTCCAAACTCCGATGGCACCCTTTCGCAATCTTTGACCCACAGCCAGTTCCAAATAAAAGACAGGAACACCTTCGATAGCCAACATGACAAAGTAGGGAATAAGAAAAGCACCTAATTAAAGTAAATTAAATTTATATTAATGAAATTTTTTCTATTAAGCATTTAAATTGAAATAAAATGGCAAACAATACTTACCACCTCCATTCTTTTGTGCCAAATATGGAAAACGCCAGACATTCCCCAAACCGACAGCATATCCGATGGTGGCAAGAATAAACTGTAATTTACTATCCCATGATTCTCTAGTATCTTCACTCTCTGGCTTAAAGTCCGATTTGTCATCAGCCGCTGCCATATCCATTGTCATCCTCTGTTGCGTTTGAGGACTAAGATCAGCCTCAAATGCAATATTTGTACTTCCATAACTCTGAACATTCCCATTTTCAACAATCAATCTTCCTTGCATTTCTCTTAATTCCATTTTTTCTCCAACTGGCAACTCACTCTTCGAAATCTGTTTTCTCATAATATTCTGCATCTTGATTGTTGCAGTTATCTCTTCTTCGAATACATCAAATTTCAAAAAAAAAATTTTATATATAAAACAATGGAAAATCCTGTTTTCCAAGATTAAGTTTTTATGTATAAACATAAGTTGGACACCGTTTGTTCAAATGTTTTATATTTAAATGCATATTATATAAATGTAATATTTGCTCAAATATATTTATTATTGTATACTATAGCCACTATAATCTGTATTTATTAAAGAATACATTAAGTGTGCATACCATAGAAGAATTTATGGTATTTGCTTGGTGATTTACCTTAGAAGATAAAAATTCTTTTCTCTAGACGTGTTAAACTTAAATTTTAAAGCTACTAAATATAACAATAAGTATTTTAAATTACTTAACTTTTAATTATTTACTTAAACTATTAAAATATGTTTGTCCTTTTTTTGGTAANCTATGAAATATTTTTGATTAATTAGTATTTAATGTAGGCAAGTTTGATTATATTAACCATGATATGGGTAGAAAATGAATAAACTCGAACACAAAAATGCCAGACATGATACTTTTAACTTAAACCTTTCATTCTTGATCGGCTTGAGATCTTGAAAACAAAGCAAAATAAAGTTTATTTTATTAATATTTATATATATAAAAAAACATTAATCATTTCATTAAAGATCTAAAATTTAACGATTTCGTAAATATACTAAAAATCAATTTTTGGTGACTAAAAGACAAACGTCACACGAAAGTGAGTATCACATTCTTCAATCGATACGAAATGTATGGGATGTGGATAGATAACATATCCCAAACACAATCTTCTGATTGGTAGGGAGGCACAAGAACCCGGATAAGAAGAGCCCTGAAATCTGTATATCAAATTGTAACAGTAACATGCATGCTCTTTTGAAACAACCCCGTTTCGGGATTTACGAGATAAATCCTTCTTGATGATTTACAGGATTACCATCATCCACGGTACAATAGTTAAACACGAATAATCGTCATTATTTCAGTATTGCGGTTACCTTAAATAATCATTACAATTTATTTGATATTAAAGGAAGTAACAGTCTCCTGGAAGCTGATATATTTATGAAATCTTTATAATACTTTTACAGTTTTATTACGTAATTTAATACCTTTTCCCCTTTTGAAATAACTAACATTAGTTAACTTTATTCACTGCGTATAGTTTAATTTATTGTAGAACTTTACAAAGCAGAAATTTCATATATATTTTGTTAAAATGTCTTTATAATGTTTATTATTAATCTCATTGAGTCTAAGGTAGAATGGTTTTAATATGATCTCAGTCGTTACAGTTATTTTCTAATTTTGGCAACATTACGTGAAAGTGGGAAAGTCTTTTGTTATGAATTAAATTGATTTGGCTACCGAGGGTTGGAGAAAGTCGAGAAAAATGAATATTGATCCATGCCTAATGTTATCCTATAAAGAAATCAATTAACTAAATTCCATAAAGACTATCAAACTGAATTTATTGGAAATGTTTAACACAGTCGAATAAATTGCACAAACTCTTTCCTGTTTATAAAAATATTGAAGTTAAAGCCTATTGTTTCATAACGTTCGCAGTAATTGCTTGCAGTTATGGTATAAATATCCATGTGTCACGCATTACTGCTCGATTTTATTATCTTTCAACTATCGATTTTTCAACATTGCATGCAAAGATCAAAGGGGTTTATATAAAGAATTAGAGTACAAAAAACATATTGATTGTTTTGTTTTCAATGGATATCATAAGAACTTCATTAATATTGTAATATGGATGAAGTTCTTGCGATTTCACATAATTACACAATTAATAATATGTAGAATATAAAAATATGTTTCAATTAATTCTGCGTGGAAGCTACATGACGTCATTCTGTATTGGACATGGCCAACACACGCAATTAACTGTCAGGACAATCTTAACTTTGCGTTGTTGACATAAGTTATTGATGAGTTCAGCAACATGAACAACACATGAAGTAAATAGATTATATTATGATATTTTATATAAACAAGAATAAAGGTAAAGTTATTATCCCTTCTACCGTAAAAAATATATATTTTTACGTCATAACTAGCTTTTTCTTTTATTAAGCGATATCAATAGAGTTATACAATTGATTAAATATTTGAATATGAATATTTTACAAGAAATTATGTAAGATAAATCTAAATACATAAGCATTGTAAACGAAACGAGCTCTTTAAATATCGAAAGCATCGAGTGAAACGAAGGCATATTTATTAGTTAAATAAATTCAATTGATGTGCTACAGGTGTTGCCTTTCCAATGTAGCAGGAACAGTGAGTGGAGAGTAAATCAGATTGATGACAACCTTATATTGCAGTCTGTTTCTTGTCCCCTGGGATGAACGGGATGTAAAGAGGAGCCGTTTCATCCATCAATAAATGGATCACTATTAGAGATTTTCCTTTTTATGAAGTCTACAGGTTTTTAATATATTTATTCCCGTATTGCTTTTAAGTTTAAAAGTTAAAATAACTTGGAAAATATAGTAATAATAATATATTAATGTCAAAAATATACTCGTCAAGCTATAAAAAGTTAAACTTTTCAATGAAAATTCAGTCAGAGTTCTTTGGACATTTTCCAAAAAAATCTATTTTTAAAACCCACGAAAAAAATAAACAATATTGTATTTAAATATTTTTTTTTCTATTTTAAGTTATTTATTTTTAGCATTAAAAATATTAAAATATATATACTTTTAACGCTGGACAAACTTCTTTGTTAAAGTCGTCGCGCTTCACGCACACGAGTTCCTGACTGCAATATCATACTTATTTCAGTTGCTTCTTGTTTGAACAAGCATATTGTATATGGGACCATGCAACAGTTGATTGGACTGACAGCCGAGTAGGAGGGGATCACATCAGTTGTTTCTATAGCAACGGTCGATCGAATGATGGCACTAAAAGGGTGTTGCTATTAAAGTCAGTCCCATGGGATCATATCTCCTGAGACCTTTTTCTACACTAACATTTTTGCTTTTATTGATTGTTTTAAGTTGAAATACATTACAAAAATTTTATTCAAGTAAACTAATATATACTTACCGCATATATTGAACAAATTTCATTTTGATTCATTAAAAACTGATAGAATTCTGATTTAAAAAATATAAAAATGTCGTATCAAATATTTGTTAAATTCAAAATAAATTTCTTATCTTATAAAATAATAAAATAATATTGAATTTTTGTGTCATTTCAACTTTGCAACTTTTCATTGATTTTATAACTACTTTCGTACATAAAATCTAAATGCAACTTAATATACAACTGTAAAATAGGAAGTGAGAATCATTTTTAAATTATGAAATGCATTTATTCATCAATAAACATTTTTAAAATGATAATAAACTGACAAAACAAAGGAAAAACCATAAAAATTGCCTCTGGATTTTGAGTTTGAAGCATTAAGAAGGAAGAATCAAGAGTCGAGAAGCTTCATACACGTTGTACAGATATTCAACAAAAATTTTTAAAAATTATTTAGAAAATGATTGCTTCGTACATATAAAAGATACGGTAGCTTATCTGAAACTTCTCTTTCCATAAGTTATTTACTCTTCATAGTTTTATCTTGCAAATTCGCCATTTCAACCTTATCAAATATTGTTTAATGTACTGTATATTCTACTTATACATAACTGATGTTTTGCATTATATTTAAAATGGCAATGAACATTTTTTTTAATTAAGAGGAGACAGTTTAAGGATACAATGTAACAATATTACATTACTCAAATCTTTAATGATTATTTAATTATTTTCCACAAAAATTTTTAATAAGATTAAGAAATACATCCATGACTTGTAATTGAAACAATTTTCTTTTACTGAGATATGAATATAAATTAATAATGAAATAATTACGACATCAACTAAATAAATTTGATTAATATAATTAATGTATAGGTTAATTATCTTTAATATGCATGGACTAGTGGAATGGTAATTGTTTAATTTAGGGATGAATTCACTGTCGAAAATAAACATTAAAAAAATCTACTATGTATATGTAAATGTAAATAAAGAAGCTACGTCTTAAACAAATTCTAGAGTATGATATAAATTTAAAAATTTCTAATTTTTAATTTTTCTTATGAAATTTTAAAAGAATTATATGATGTTATAATAAAAATTATAATCGCATCTTTGCAATGAATAATCTACTTGTTAATTCAATTTCACATATAATTGAAAAGTAAATTAGTCTATCCAACTAACACTGCTTTCCTCTACATAAATCTTGCATTCTAGTCTACAGTTTATGTTAATTTTAAAAGAAAGATTTCTTGCATTTCATGAAAACTTAAAATAATCCAAATAATTATATCAAAAACTTTGAAATTACATTAAAATATACCTTGTATTATACATAAAATTTTCATTAAAGCATGTCGCCAATGAAAAAATAAGTTAATTTATTCATTGATAAATTAAACTTAAAAATAATTAATTTATATATTTTGCTTTATATCCAAGAAATATAAAATATATATTAAACTTTAATATGAAGAACAATGGGGTGATATTTTGTATTTGATAATGCTATCGTGGGTTTTATTTTTATAACAATTCAGTGATCTAAAATCTTTGAAAAATCAATTAATAAGCTATTACTGGTAAAGAATATAGGTCAGATAAATGTAATGGAAATTTAAGTCATTGCCAAAGCTGCTAAATTTATGTTCTTTAATTCTCCTTGAAATTTTCTGAAAATATGTGGAGCTGAGCATCAGAGAATTGAACAAGTAAATGGAAAACTTGAACAGTGAAAATGATCTTGGTCATTGTGTTAATTAACGTGGTTATACTTCATGGTTCCAGTAAAAAAGGGAGAGTTAATAATATTTTTGAAAATATATCCATAAATATCCTTTAAATCATATTTATAATTGAAGACCTTGGAGCAAGAATGTGTAAACTCATTTTTTCAAGTTTATGAAAAAAATCACCCTAAAATTCTGAATTTACTTTGTATTTTGGGGGCAAATTACAGGTGATTAATGATATCAGAGGTTGATAGGGCAGTCAATGAGAAGTTGAAGGTTGTGCATCTGGATATTATATCTGTCTTACGTTTGTAGAAATTTAACATTGAATCTGAATGTTCTTGCCCCAAGGTCTTCAATTATGTAAACGATATATATATGACGTAGTTTATAATCTAAAAATTTAATATTTTTACTTCTACGTCTTCATATAACAATAATTTATAAAGAACGTTTGAATAAGATTCATCTATACAATATATAATTTAGGTTTTATATCGTATTAAATATAGAATTTAAAATAAAGTTACGTTTAAAATGATGAAATATCGAACTTAATTTACGTATTATAAATATATTCTGATTTTAAAAATGTATTTTTTTTTTAGCTGTTAAGTGTCTCTATATAAAAGACTAAAGAAAGTAATCTGTTTAATTGTACTATTCTAGAACTTTATTACTCATTTGATTAGGATAAAGACTTTTGGAATCACTCTAGGGAAACTATTAAGTCTATCTGAATAAAAGCAATTGTAAAAGAAATTGTTAGAGTAAT